ATATGTTGTGTGTCTATGGCATTGAATGTTTGCCATGTATATGTACATTTCCGTCTATATATGTTGTGTGTCTATGGCATTGAATGTTTGCCATGTATATGTACATTTCCGTCTATATATGTTGTGTGTCTATGGCACTGAATGTTTGCCATGTATATGTACATTTCCGTCTATATATGTTGTGTGTCTATGGCACTGAATGTTTGCCATGTATATGTACATTTCCGTCTATATATGTTGTGTGTCTATGGCACTGAATGTTTGCCATGTATATGTACATTTCCGTCTATATATGTTGTGTGTCTATGGCACTGAATGTTTGCCATGTATATGTACATTTCCGTCTATATATGTTGTGTGTCTATGGCACTGAATGTTTGCCATTTATATGTACATTTCCGTCTATATATGTTGTGTGTCTATGGCACTGAATGTTTGCCATGTATATGTACATTTCCGTCTATATATGTTGTGTGTCTATGGCACTGAATGTTTGCCATGTATATGTACATTTCCGTCTATATATGTTGTGTGTCTATGGCACTGAATGTTTGCCATGTATATGTACATTTCCGTCTATATATGTTGTGTGTCTATGGCACTGAATGTTTGCCATGTATATGTACATTTCCGTCTATATATGTTGTGTGTCTATGGCATTGAATGCTTGCCATGTATATGTACATTTCCGTCTATATATGTTGTGTGTCTATGGCACTGAATGTTTGCCATGTATATGTACATTTCCGTCTATATATGTTGTGTGTCTATGGCATTGAATGTTTGCCATGTATATGTACATTTCCGTCTATATATGTTGTGTGTCTATGGCACTGAATGTTTGCCATGTATATGTACATTTCCGTCTATATATGTTGTGTGTCTATGGCACTGAATGTTTGCCATGTATATGTACATTTCCGTCTATATATGTTGTGTGTCTATGGCACTGAATGCTTGCCATGTATATGTACATTTCCGTCTATATATGTTGTGTGTCTATGGCACTGAATGCTTGCCATGTATATGTACATTTCCGTCTATATATGTTGTGTGTCTATGGCATTGAATGCTTGCCATGTATATGTACATTTCCGTCTATATATGTTGTGTGTCTATGGCATTGAATGTTTGCCATGTATATGTACATTTCCGTCTATATATGTTGTGTGTCTATGGCATTGAATGTTTGCCATGTATATGTACATTTCCGTCTATATATGTTGTGTGTCTATGGCATTGAATGTTTGCCATGTATATGTACATTTCCGTCTATATATGTTGTGTGTCTATGGCATTGAATGTTTGCCATGTATATGTACATTTCCGTCTATATATGTTGTGTGTCTATGGCATTGAATGTTTGCCATGTATATGTACATTTCCGTCTATATATGTTGTGTGTCTATGGCATTGAATGTTTGCCATGTATATGTACATTTCCGTCTATATATGTTGTGTGTCTATGGCATTGAATGTTTGCCATGTATATGTACATTTCCGTCTATATATGTTGTGTGTCTATGGCATTGAATGTTTGCCATGTATATGTACATTTCCGTCTATATATGTTGTGTGTCTATGGCATTGAATGTTTGCCATGTATATGTACATTTCCGTCTATATATGTTGTGTGTCTATGGCATTGAATGTTTGCCATGTATATGTACATTTCCGTCTATATATGTTGTGTGTCTATGGCATTGAATGTTTGCCATGTATATGTACATTTCCGTCTATATATGTTGTGTGTCTATGGCATTGAATGTTTGCCATGTATATGTACATTTCCGTCTATATATGTTGTGTGTCTATGGCATTGAATGTTTGCCATGTATATGTACATTTCCGTCTATATATGTTGTGTGTCTATGGCATTGAATGTTTGCCATGTATATGTACATTTCCGTCTATATATGTTGTGTGTCTATGGCATTGAATGTTTGCCATGTATATGTACATTGTAACCCGCCCTGAGTCCCCTGCGGGGGGGGGGGGGGGGGGAGGAGGAGGGTGGAATATAAATACTGTAAATAAATAACAACAACAACACAGAATATTTTTACAATCACAACATTTGAACCACATATGCTAAAAATGGACATTTGCCCCCAAAATGCCTCATACGCACATGAATATGAACCATGAACCCACCCAAAGGTCCCTTCCACACAGCTGTACAAAATCCACGTTGAACTGGATTATATGCCAGTGTGGACTCTGATAACCCAAAGCAGATATTGTGGATTATCCGCCTTGATATTCTGGGTTATAGGGCTGTGTGGAAGGGGCCTGAGTCCTTCCGCAAGCTGAGCTTCTCTATCTTTGTGTTTTTCACAAGTTGTGTCACTATTGTTGTTATCTTCCCTTTCCCTACTTTTGGGTTCAAAGCAGCTTGCAACAATTTAAACCATCAGAAGTAAAAAATATATCCCAACATACAAAACAAATTAAACTACAATTACATTAAGAACCAGTTCAAAATATAAACAATTGGAAGCAGGAGCAACAATTAGCCAAATCCCACTGCACAACAATAAAGCCTAAAGTCAACCGTACTGTTACAAATCCCAAATCCCAGTCAAGACTCTTATTTTTGTTTTGACTGACTCCCAATCATTTGTCTGCCGTGTCTTTAAGATCTTCTGCAAATAACAATAGAATGCATAACATATAAATGCATGTGTTAAAAAGCAGCATATCACAGCGGGTTATATTTCAGAAGAAGGAAACAGCAGAGCCATCTCTGGCTTGCAATGTCTTCTATGATTCAGCCCCTTTTACAATGCCATATATGCTGATGTATGCTGATGATACCGTCGTCTATGCACATTCAGAAGGAGACCTAAAAGCCACTCTAAACACCTTCGCAGAAGCATAAGAGAAACCCAGCCTGTCATTGAACATCGAGAAAACCAAAGTGCTCTTCCAGCAGACACCAACCAATCCCTCTCCAATGCCAGCGATACATCTTAATGGTGTAACATTAGAAAATGTGGACCAGTTCCGCTCCTTTGGCAGCCACCTCTCCACAAAAGTCAACATTGACACCGAAATACAACACCACCAAGGTTACAACATCTGTTATAGAACTCCAGTATGCTGATGACAACATCGTCTGTGCGCATTCAGAAGAAGATCTACAAGCCACTCTAAACACCTTCGCAGAAGCGTACGAGAAGCTTGGCCTGTCACTAAACATTGAGAAAACCAAAGTGTTGTTCCAGCGAGTCACCAGCCACCCCCTCTCCAATGCCAGAGATACAGCTTAATGGTGTAACATTAGAAAATGTTGATCATTTCCGCTCCCTTGGCAGCCACCTCTCCACCAAAGTCAACATTGACACCGAAATATAACACCACCTGAGCTCTGCGAGTGCAGCAATCTTCCGAATGAAGCAGAGAAGAAGGAAGGAGAGAAGGAAAGAAGGGAAAGAAAAGGGGGAAGGGAAGAGGAAGAGAAGGAAGGAAGGAAGGAAGGAGAGAAGGAAAGAAAGAGGGAGGGAACGAAAAGGGGGGAAGGAAGGGAAGAGGAAGAGAAGGAAGGAGAGAGGGAAAGAAGGGGAAGGAAAGAAGGGAAAGAAAAGGGGGAAAGAGGAAGAGGAAGAGAAGAAGGAAGGAGGAAAGGAAGGAAGGAAGGAAGGAAGGAAGGAAGGAAGGAAGGAGAGAAAGGAAAGAAGAGAGAAAGAGGGAGGGAAAGAAAAGGGGAAGGAAGGAAAGGAAGAGAAAGAAAAGGGGGAAGGAAAGGAAGAGGAAGAGAAGGAAGGAAGGAGAGAAGGAAAGAAGGGAAAGAAAAGGGGGAAAGAGGAAGATAAGGAAGGAAGGAAGGAAGGAGAGAAGGAAAGAAGGAGAGAAAGAGGGAGGGAACGAAAAGGGGGGAAGGAAGGAAAGAGGAAGAGAAGGAAGGAAGGAGAGAAGGAAAGAAGGAGAGAAGGAAAGAAGGGAAAGAAAAGGGGGAAAGAGGAAGAAGGAAGGAAGGAAGGAAGGAAGGAAGGAAGGAAGGAAGGAAGGAGAAGGAAGGAAGGAAGGAAGGAAAGAAGGAAAGAAGGAGAGAAAGAGGGAGGGAAAGAAAAGGGGGGGAGGAAAGGAAGAGGAAGAGAAGGAAGGAAGGAGAGAAGGAAAGAGGGGAAAGAAAAGGGGGAAAGAGGAAGAGGGAGAGAAGGGAGAGAAAAATAAAGGAGAGAAAGAGGGAGGGCAGGTTGGCCACAGCAAAGTGTGGCAGGTACAGCCACTTAATATATAAAATCCAGATTATCTACTTTGAACTGGATTCTATGGCAGTGTAGACTCATATAATCCAGTTCAAAGCAGATCATGCAGATGATCTGCTTTAATATTCTGGATGATATGGCTGTGTAGACGGCGCCTCTGCCATGAAAACCCACTTAGGAAAGTCATGCTCTCTCGGCCTCTCCAAAAACCCTGCCAAGACAAGCCATAACTTTGTGTCACTGCACAGGTGACAATGTTTGCCCAGTGTACCAACAAAACATTAGGCGAAATCAGGCTGCCAATGAGTGCTTCCAATGGAGAGTATGGTTGCAATTCCCCAGCCAGAGGAAGAGAACCCTAGAGCTGGAAGAGACCCCAAGGGCCACTTCCCTCTTGATGTGAGCAGAAGGGGGAGAGATTGGGGTGCTCCCCATGGCTGTGCCTCAGGCAGTGAAAGGTCTTCGGCCGCCCCAGAGAGACCTTTGTCCTGATCCCGAAAGGGGCTTCTAATCCCCTCCAAATGCCAGCCAACAGGCCCGAAAGGGAGGCGAAGATGGCTGGGAGTCTCCTGTGGGCATCGTCCCAACTCTCCAAAGGACGGAGGCGCGCAGGGATTTGGAGACGGGAAGGGGGGCCCGCTTTCCCCGAGTGGGAGAGGGGCAACCCGGAGCCGAATGGCGCAAGGCTCTCGGGGGCAGAGAGGCCAGAGTCCGGGGAGGAGGAGGGCGCCCAAACCGAGGGGGAAATGCCCACGGAAAGCCGCACAGAGGAGGGAGAGCCTTGCTTACCTGGGCGCTCGGCCTGCGCGCTCAAGGCGCCCAGGAGCAGGCACAGCCAGGCGCAGCAGGAGCAGCTCCAAGCAGCCATCCCTCCCTCCGAGGCGGGCGAGTGGGCCTCCCTGGCCCCCCCCTCCTGGCCTGGCTTCCCGGGAAACACCCCCGAGGAGGAGCCCTCCCAACTCTCCCCGCCCACAGGAGAGGCTTTCCCGGAGGAAGAGGAGGAGGAGGAGGAGGAGGAGGAGGAGGAAGAGGGGAAAGCCAAGCCCAAAGCGCAAAGGCGGAGGAGAAGGCCTTTGGAGAGGGGCGCCTTGGGAGAGAGAGACACACAGAGAGAGAGAGAGCTCAGAGCGCTTCTCTCCTTCCTTCCTTCCTTCCCTCTTTCCTTCTCCTTCCTTCTTCCTCTCTTTCCTTCTTTCCTTCATTCCTTCTCTTCTTCCTTCCTTCCTTCCTCACTTTTCTCTCTCCTTACTTCATTCCTTCTCTCCTTCCTTTCTCACTTTTTTCTCTCCTTCCTTCCATCCATCCTTCTTTCTCTCCTTCCTTCCTTGAGAGACACACAGAGAGAGAGCTCAGAGCGCTTCTCTGCTTCCTTCCTTCCTTCCCTCTTTCCTTCTCCTTCCTTCTTCCTCTCCTTCCTTCTCTCCTTCCTTCTTTCCTTCATTCCTTCTCTTCTTCCTTCCTTCCTCACTTTTCTCTCTCCTTACTTCATTCCTTCTCTCCTTCTCTCCTTCCTTTCTCACTTTTTTCTCTCCTTCCTTCCATCCATCCTTCTTTCTCTCCTTCCTTCCTTCCCTCCTTACTTCTCTCCTTCCTTCTCTCCTTCCTCTCTTCCTTCCTACCTTCTCTCCTTCCTCCTTTCCTTCCTTCCCTCCTTCCTTCTCTCCTTCCTTCTTTCCCACCTTCTTTCCTTCATTCCTTCTCTTCTTCCTTCCTTCCTCACTTTTTTCTCTCCTTACTTCATTCCTTCTCTCCTTCTCTCCTTCCTTCCTCACTTTTTCCTCTCCTTCCTTCCTTCCTTCCTTCCTTCCTTCCTTCTTTCTCTCCTTCCTACCTTCTCTTCTCTCTCCTTACTTCATTCCTTCTCTCCTTCCTTTCTCACTTTTTTCTCTCCTTCCTTCCATCCATCCTTCTTTCTCTCCTTCCTTCCTTCCCTCCTTACTTCTCTCCTTCCTTCTCTCCTTCCTCTCTTCCTTCCTACCTTCTCTCCTTCCTCCTTTCCTTCCTTCCCTCCTTCCTTCTCTCCTTCCTTCTTTCCTTCCTTCTTTCCTTCATTCCTTCTCTTCTTCCTTCCTTCCTCACTTTTTCTCTCTCCTTACTTCATTCCTTCTCTCCTTCTCTCCTTCCTTCCTCACTTTTTTCTCTCCTTCCTTCCTTCTCTCCTTCCCTCCTTACTTCTCTCCTTCCTTCTCTCCTTCCTCTTCCTTCCTACCTTCTCTCCTTCATTCCTTCCTTCTTCCTTCTCTCCTTCCTTCTCTCCTTCCTTCCCTCTTTCCCCTCCTCCTTTCCTTCTTCCTCTCCTTCCTGGACCAAACTTGGCACAAATACTCAATATGCCCAAATGTAAACACTGGTGGAGTTTGGGGAAAATAGACCTTGACATTTGGGAGTTGTAGCTGGGATTTATAGTTCACCCACAATCAAAGAGCATCCTAAACCTCACCAACAATGGAATTGAACCAAACTGGGCACACAGAAATCCCATGACCAACTTTACTTACTTGGGCGATCCCTCATTGTCCAAGTAGGATTGTTGTCCAATATCAGTGTCCTGGCAGGTTGTTTTTTGTTTTTTAGGGGTTTTTTGCCTTTCCTGAAGCAAGCTTGCTGTGGGATCAGACACGGGTCTATAGTTTCCATAATTCCATGCGAAATAAGTCTCTCCAGAACTTTGTAGAGGTGGCACAACAGGGAGATTGGTCTGTAGCTTTTTGGGTCATTACGGTCTTTGCCTGGCTTCAAGATGGCGATGACTCTTGCTTTCTTCCAGATTTTGGGGATCTGACAGGATGCAGTGCAGTTGTTCATCAGCTCCAGCAGCCAGCACCTTGCTTTTGGACCAAAGTTCTTGATTTGTTCCATCCGTAGATCATCCAGGCCAGCTTTGCCATTTTTACATTTATTGAGAGCCATGTCCAATTCAGTAGATGTAAAGGGTTCATGAAGGTTGTTGTTCTCAATCTCTGGTTGTCTGGCTATTGGTTTCTTTCCTACTTTGGTGGCAAGGTTGGGTTTCCCGTTCTTCAAGAGTTGGTGTGCTATCTGATCTGCCTTTATGTTGGCATGGGTATGAGTTTGTGAGGGGTCGTTGCTCAACCGTCTTAGCAGCCTCCACGCCTTCTGGCTGCTCCTGCCCATGTCGACCTCTGTGATCAGCTTGATCCATTGTTCTTTCTTGGCTTCAGAGATGGAGGACACAATGCTCTGCGCTGCCTGAAGGTCCTGGCAGTGGGTCCGTAGGTGGCCGTGAAATCCTATTCGGGGTTGGCTTGACACGCCTTCCTTTTAGCATGCTTCTCCCTTTCACCCTCTGTTTGTGCTTCTTCAAATTCTACAGCACTGCTGGTCACAGCTGACCTCCAGCTGGAGCGCCCAAGGGCCAGGGCTTCCCAGTTCTCAGTGTCTATGCCAGAGTCTTTAAATTTGGCTTTGAGCCCATCTTTAAATCTCTTTTCCTGCCTACCAACCAACAGAAAATACTGGAAGGGTCTGGTGGGCGTTGACCTTGAGTTTTTGGAGTTGTTATGAAATTTGGTGAGCTAACAGTGGTCCATGTGTTCTACCACTGTAGCAAGTTTCATCAGGATTGGTCTAAAAATGAGGGAGGGAGAATCCCCTGAAGTTCCCCCAGTGCCAGTCCTGATTTTTTTTTCCAACTGCAAATGCATGTCTGCATTAACAAATCGATTCAGAAGTTTCGGAAATTTCAGAAAGTTTCGATTTTTAAAAAAAACCGGAAGTGATTTTAGAACTGAACCACCAATGCCCCTTACATCCGAAACGAGTTTTGAACCATTTTTTTTGGCTCAACCAAGCCTAATAAATACAATAAATAAATAAATAAATAATTTATATTTATTTATCGTGTGCAGTTTGGAACCACTTTAACTGCCATGCTATACGATCCCCAAAATCTGGAGGAAAGCAAAAGTCATCGCCCTCTTGAAGCCAGGCAAAGACCATAATAATCCAAAAAGCTACAGACCAATCTCCCTGTTGTGCCACCTCTACAAAGTTCTGGAGAGACTTATTTTGCATAGAATTATGGAAAATATAGACCCCTGTCTGATCCCACAGCAAGCTGGCTTCAGGAAAGGCAAAAGCTGCACATCGCAAGTGCTGAACCTGACTCAGCACATAGAAGATGGCTTTGAAAGGCAGCAGATCACAGGAGCTGTCTTCATAGACCTGTCAGCAGCCTATGAGACTGTGAACCACCACTGCCTCCTCCTGAGAAAAATGTATAATATCACAAAGGACGACCACCTCACCACCTCATAGGAAACCTGCTACAAAACAGGAGCTTTTTTGTTGAGTTCCAGGGCCAGAGAAGCAGATGGCGGAAACAGAAGAACGGCCTGCCTCAGGGGAGCGTGCTTGCTCCATCCATGTTCAACATCTACACAAATGACCAGCCACTGCCAGAAGGGACAGATAGTTTCATCTATGCTGATGATCGTGCCATTACCGCTCAAGCAGGGAGCTTTGAGATGGTAGAACAGAAGCTCTCCGAAGCTCTAGGTGCTCTTACTGCCTATTACAGGGAAAACTAGCTGATCCCTAATCCATCTAAAACACAGACATGTGCTTTTCATCTCAAGAACAGACATGCATCCCGAGCTCTGAGGATTACCTGGGAAGGAATCCCACTGGAGCATTGCAACACACCCAAATACCTGGGAGTCACTTTGGACCGTGCTCTGACCTACAAGAAGCACTGCCTGAACATCAAGCAAAAAGTAGGCGCTAGAAACAACATCATACGAAAGCTGACTGGCACAACCTGGGGATCACAACCAGACACAGTGAAGACATCTGCCCTTGCGCTATGCTACTCTGCTGCTGATTATGCATGCCCAGTGTGGAATACATCTCACCACGCTAAAACAGTGGATGTGGCTCTTAATGAGACATGCCGCATTATCACGGGGTGTCTGCGCCCTACACCACTGGAGAAATTACACTGTCTAGCCGGTATTGCACCACCTGACATCCGCCGGGAAGTAGCAGCCAATAGTGAAAGGACCAAGGCAGAGGCATCTCCAGCTCATCCCCTGTTTGGGTATCAGCCAGCACGTCAACGACTTAAATAGCTTTCTTAGATCTACAGAGACACTCGCTAGAACACCCCAGCAAGCGAGCGTCCTACAAGAGCAAGTCCAGTTAGGAACATGGGAATCACTCATCCCTCCAGATAGATGGATTGCAATGCCCATCATCCCCAACCAGCATTGCTAATGAGAGGAATAATGGGCGGTGCATTAATAATATAGCTTCTCAGCAAACTCTGCCGCCCTGTAAATTCACTTTGTTTCTGCATATGGTTTTTGTCACTGCCAGCACTTGTGTACTATAATTCTCTGTAATCTTCATTATTGCAATATATTTAGGCTTTGGGGAATAATTGCCATGTGTTTCTGCTCAATGAGCAATCATTGTTTATACGTGTTGACAGACAGCATACATCAGGACCCATGCAGCAGACCAAGCCAATGCAATATGTGTGTCGGAGTCTCTTTGAGTGCTGTGCTTGCAGAATCCTGGGATTTTTAGTTTGCCAAGGTGTTCAAAATTATTTTATGTATCTCCTCTAAGCTACACTTAGTTAGTGGCCATTCCTACATTTTACATTGCAGGTTACACCCAAAGTCAACATAATAGCCCCTTCTACACAGCTGTAGATTGGGAAAGGCGTCCAGCAAGGCTGCAGACTCTCACCCAACCTTTTTAACTTGTATGCAGAACACATCATGCGAGGATGTGCGGGGCTGGATGAATGCAAAGCTGGGGTGAAAATGGCTGGAAGAAACATTAACAACCTCAGATATGCAGATGACACCACTCTGATGGCCGAAAGCGAGGAGGAGCTGAGGAGCCTTCTAATCAAGGTGAAAGAAGAAAGCGCAAAAGCTGGGTTGCAGCTAAACATCAAAAAAACCAAGATTATGGCAACAAGAATGATTGACAACTGGAAAAAGAGGGA